AGAGATAGAACTGTTAAGCCTGGAGAAGAGAAGGCTCAGAGGGATCTCATCAATGTGTATAAATACCTGAAGGCAGGGTGCAAAGAGGATGGAGCCAGGCTCTTTTCACTGGTGCCCAGTGACAGGACAGAGGCAATGTGTACAAACTGAAACACAGGAGGTTCCCTCTGAGCATCAGAAAATGCTTTACTGTGAGGAGGACCAAGCACTGACAAAGGCTGACCAGGGAGGTTGTCTGTGGGTTCCCCATCCTTGGAGATATTCAAAAGCCAACTGGGCATGATCCTGGGCAACTAGCTCAAGGTGACCCTGCTTGAGAAGGACCAGATGACTTCTGCAGGTTCTTTCCCATTTCAGTCATTCTGTGATTCAAAGTCCATTTAACATTTCTGTCTACTCTATGGCTTAGGGGAAAAAAAAGTATTAAGTATCTTTTTTTAAATCTAAACTACTAACAAATTAGTTACTAACAAATTAGCAAATATTACCTATGTCTGTCCTCGCTGGTCCTAACAGGATTTGGGTAACAACGACCAAAATTCTGTTCTGTAGCACAGAGGAAATAGGCCTATTTGGCCTATGTGTGGTTTTACAGGCCACGTCCTTTCCAGAAGACCACGTGGAGCACCTGGCATGTTTTCAGTTAGGACTTGGAAGACTTTGTTTCTATGTGCAACAATTGTATGTAGCAGTAACAACAAACTTGATCCTTTTTTCAGGATGCATTGTCCCTTCAGTGAAGACCTCTTGTGTAATATTGAGGAAGACAGACTTTTCTCTTCAAAACTGCATCCTGTGAATTTTGGCAGGAACTCTTTGCTCTTCGGAATTAAAAAAGTGGTCCTTAGTTTGACAATAACCTGAAGTTCTGGAAGTTGAGATCACAGAATCACAGAATATGCTGAGTTGGAAGGGACCCACAAGGCTCATCAAGTCCAACCCTTAGCCCTGCACAGGACCATCCCCAAGAGTCACACCATGTGCCTGAGAGTATCGTCCAAATGCTTCTTGAACTCTGTCAGGCTTGGTGCTGTGACCACTGCCCTGGGGAGCCTGTTCCAGTGCCCAACCCCCCTCTGGGTGAAGAACCTTTTTCTAACAGCCTACCTAAACCTCCCCTGACACAATTTCAGGTCATTTCTGTGGGTCCTGTCACCGGTCACCATAGAGAAGTGATCAGTGTCTGCCCCTCCTCTTCCCCTCATGAGGAAGTTGTAGACTGCAATGAGGTCTCCCCTCAGTCTCCTCCAGGCTGAACAGAACAAGTGACCTCAGCCGCTCCTCATATGGCTTCCCCTCCAGACCCTTCACCATCTTCATTGCCCTTCTTTGGATTAACTTTGTGTGGTCACATGTGACTTTTCATTGCATTTTCCCAGTTTGGGGATTTTTCCCTTTTGACCTGTCTTTGGCCATCTCTGAAATTTTGTTTGCTGCAAGGACACATTGTACTGCTCAGAACAGAAAGAGATTGAGTTCAATAGAAATTGCTGCCAAGTGGGGACATTAAACTCAAACCCAAATGAAAACAAAAAAGTGCAGTCTCCTGGCAAAGTCTTTGCAAAGAACAGATACCAGGAGAGAAATGTTATCAGCATACAAAGAAAAAAAAAAAAAGGCCAGTAGTATAGAAATGAATATTCATCAGAACTGTACAAAGCCAAACCATCCCCCATCCCAACACTGTAAGCTGACTAGCAGCCCTGGTCAGGATCCAGAAGCCACAAAGAACATAGAGTTCTTCTAGTAGATTGAGTCAATGAAGATCTGACTTCAATTTCTTATTCGTTGGTTTAATAGCCAAATAGTATCTCCCTCAAGCAGTGTTGTGAGAACTGCATTAAATGCGTAAGCACTTCAACATTAAAATGGTGAGGAAGAGACACATCACTACTGAGATGGTGCAGAAGAGGTGTTGGGCCTTACAAAGATAGTTTTGCCTCTCTCCAGTTCCTAAACATTAAATAACCTGCATTTATCAAAGAGTTTATCACCTTGGTACTTAAATTTTAGATCAGGGCTTCTTTCAGATGTGAAAGACCCATTGCTGTCACCCCTATTTTGTCCCATCTCAAGAAAATTCTGTGGGGTTGCCACAGCCAAGTAATTAAGAAATTTTCACAAATAAATAAGTGCACAAACTTACTTGCTACATCCTTGTCATTAGCACTAGTTTTAGGTGTGGTTTAGTTTTCCAAGGGCCAAGCATTGCTTTTGACTCTTCTTGGAAACTTAAGTTCACCGTACCGACCAATATCTTGTGGGCTTCGTTGTCTTTCAGAGAGATTTTATATGAAAAAAAAAGTCTTACTGGCTTTTGTTCAGGTCACTGTTTTGTAGGAGTGATGCTCAGTAATTTGACCATCTTTTCCACTGATTTTATTGTAACACTTTCCAGTTCTGATGTCTCCTACACAGCTGAATAAATTGTGATATCTTAACCCCACTAAATTAATTTCTATCAGCTTCTGTGTATTACTTTTCCTTCTCTATGTGTGTAATAGGGAATTTGGTTTGTTGAGTTTTGATTGGACTCATTCACCTGCCTCTTCCGTGAATAGTCATAAAACTGACAACTGTTCTACTGATGTGTCCTTTCCCAAGATGAATTCTCCCCCCAAGCGCCTGGCAGGGGGTGAGCAGCCCAAGGGAAGCAGGGTGTTTGAGCAGTGGAGGAATTGCACAGTTTATGCATCACTTCAAGGCTCCCTGTGGGTTCTGAAATGGAAAGTAAAGGGAAGATGCTCAAGACTTGTAACCATCAAGGAAAATGGCACTTCCTGGGGCCTCTCTCCCTGAAGTTTGAATCAGTGCAGGTTTTACTGCTCTTCCTCTGTTTGGACAATATTTTTACCTGTGAAATAGCACTGGCACTGCTGGTACAGCAAAGATTTGAGTTGTTTCTCATGGCAGCAGGGTAGAAACCTGTCCTGCTGAAGACCTTTGGCCAGGCTGACGCTGTTTATCTTTGTAAAACTGAGCATTAGCTTTTGTTTTGAGAGAAAACAAACTTCCTTCACAGGAATACATCATTTTTCCTCAAGTTTATCTGATGGCTCCCTCTAGAACATAAATACTGACCTACTTCACAAATTGCAGTTCTTGGATTTGGTCACATTTAGTCCCAGAAGTGTTTTTGTTGCACTTGCTCCTCATCAGACTCAGTACCATTTCAAAGCTTTCTTTCTCTGATTGTCTAGATCAGTGCTTTTTTGGATGACTGCAGAAATATGGAGTTTTCAAGTTGTCTTATTTGCATTTCAAAATTATCTCCTGTAATCAGTCAATGCATCTGCCCCAGTGTGCCCAGAACCTCTCCCAACAAAGCAAGAGATGTAAGCTTGAGACAAACAGGGAAAATACTGTGAGCTGAGCCAGGAAAGATCTGAAGCTTCGCTCTGCCAGTCAGTGGTAACAGCCAGTTTAAAAAGACAGTGGGTAGATGCTGACCAGCATTAATTCTACTAAGTAGGATCTCGTGTCATGAGATGGGGTGCTTTATTTTTGCAGGGAGGGTGAGAGAGCAACATATAGAGGAACTTATGGATTAAATTGCTTTACAGCTGCCCTCTTCCACTGGAGTCAATTACCATGAGGTTGTTAGAATAACTCCATGTTCACTATCCACTCACCAAGTTAAACACTCAATGAAAACTACTACTGCTCCAACTGTCATGTCTTTTAGAAAGGCTCTGTCATTATAAAAATACAATCAGTGACTGGACTGACAACTGAAATGGCTGGGACTGTCCCCCACCAAATAAATTTATGCTGAAGTTTGCAGCACTGACTTAAGTCAAGCTACACTGAAGTCTATAGCAGAACTCCCTTCTTTGAGCCCAGGCAGTGCATGTTCAACATCCCACCTGAGTCATGTTTACTGGCAAGCGGTGTCCCTGCTCACATCTTGTTCCCAGTGAATGGAACACAGAAGCTGGTGCATGTGTTGGTGCAAATGCAAACAGTTGGTATTTGCAGTTTACTCCAAAATAGTGAGGTATATGTGGAAATGCCCTGCTATTCAAAGGCAAACAACAAACATTTGTTTATACCTTTAATCAATCACAGGTTGGTTTTGTTTGGGTTTTTTTTAAACAATGAATAAACATCACCCCAGAAATGTAACTTAAGAGGAAATGCAGTTGACAAAATTGCCCGATAAACTGACCTCCTAAAATTTTCATCCAAGACAAAAACCAGAAGTTGCAGTTGCCCCACATCACTGCAGTGAGTCCCGCTGTCCATGGGCAGTACCTTTCCATCAACACATGGGGAAATGACTGGCTCCACATGTGGTCTGTGGTGATACATTCCTCTGTGCAAAATCCAGGAGAGCAAAAACTTCCCAAATACGTGACTTCAGCAAATGATGAAAAATGTGAAAGCCTTCAGAAGGGGAATAATTAACAACTGAGGTCAGAATCATATAAGCCTCAAAGCTGCCACAAGAAGTGTTAGGTTGAGTGTGGACAGGGAAGGGCAGCAAGAGCAGCTGCTGTGCTTGTTCTGCTCCTATAAACCAGGTGTGTGCAGAAGTCCCCAGCACGCACTGCTTAGCAAGGATTTGTGCCACCTTCTCTTTCTGTTCATCTGTCACTGGGTGCCATTTTTCTTTTGCCCATAAAGCTTTATAAGTGGCACTAAATGTATTTACTTTCATGAAGGTACAAGTCATTCTGAACTGCATTAACAAAAAGCCTCTCGCTGGCTTACAAGCCACATGCTGCGTCTGCTCTTGTGGAATCAGGCTGAAATAAAGCATCATCAGGACCATTATACCAAAGTGTGTAAGACTCTGGATTTTGTTTCTAATTGCTGTTCCTGAGTTCTAGTTCTTTTTAAATCACAAGCGCTCTTAAACCATAGCATGTTGCTCTTTTACACTGTGACCAAACTTTGATTAAAGCAGTTTTCTGAAATCTGGCTTCATTTTTAAGCTGTGACTAAAATGAAAAACATAGGCCATTCAAATACATCAGTGCAGAATGTGGACTTATATAGCACACTTTTTTTATTTTTATGAACTATTTAAATACCAGTCATTAAACTTCTTCTGTACTGCAGAGCTGAGAAGCAACTTAACTACTTGATAATGCAAATGTTTTTATTAGCCTTGCAGCTACTGGATTAAGAAATGTAGTTATTATATATGCTTCCAGCTATACTCTTGTTTTGGGTAACTGTATTTAACAGCTGGAACTATAGAAAATGTTAATACCAGACTTGTAGTAAATAAACCTCTGTACAAGCCTTGCTGTTGTTTTCTTTCACTGTAAGTTTACAAATGAAGTTATAAGTGAAGCAATAGTTTGAACGCTGACCCAGCCTCTTCAGGAAGCGCTGTGACAGCCTCACTTGTTTCAGCACTGCTTATCATGGGAAAGCTTATTTCAGGGCCTCTCTGACAGTAAAGTCTTTATTTCCAAGGAGACTGATAATAGGCTGAAAAGAGAAGTTTTTTCCTAAACTGATACTTTATGGGAGGTCTTTGAATAATTAGTAAATGCCATCAGCCAGGAGGGTATCTTTGGGGAAATAAAATTATGTAAAGCAGATATAAGGAGCTCTCCCACACCCATCTGCAGGACCTTAGCTACCAGACACTGCAGAGACCTCAAGAACACCTGTGTTATATTTGTGTCTAAGTTATTTGCCCTACCACACTGGTCTGAGCCATGTGTGAAACAGTGTGACCAGTTGGCTGAGTTCTATAGGCAGTTGGCTTATAAACACAGTCATAAGAAAATGTGTTACCACTGCTTTGCAGTAAATCTGAAATAAGTAAGACAAAATGAATCCCACCTGAGTGTCTTAGTCTGAGATGTCTTTACCATTAGTAGAAAGATGTAGGACTGTAGGTGATGTTTCTTAAACTAGATTCAGTAAATCCCTCTGAAAAAGCCTGTTTTCTCTCTACGCACTTTACAGTGAGAATCCCAGTGAGTAATTCAAATGTCCACAGATCAGGTAAGATGAATCCCATCCTCTAGGTCTGAAAGTAAACAGATGCAGACAAAATACAACCCTCTCATCAGGAGGTGGACTTCACCTCTAAAACCTGTGCCCCACAGTGTTCCTTTCCCCCTCTTCATCCATCCATAATGATACAGCAATTCCCTTTAATCTTTTGCAGAAATGGCAAGCATATACAGCTTAGTGTGTTATTTCTTTTCATGCTGACAGTCATACAGCCATGTCCCTGCTGGATCCAGCCCTGTCTGGGTGTGTTATGTGTTGAGACCTCCTACTTCATGGTATCTTGACATAAATGGGATAATATTCAGCCCTGGCTCCATAAAGTAATGTGGAAGGCATTTGGCAGTGTTCCTAAATTCTTGCTGGTTAAACATGAGTAAGCAGATCATTTCTGCATACCAGCACTGATTTATAGAAACTGAAGGCCGTGAGGAATTCCTCTATTTAAAATAAGCAGACACTGCAAGAGAGTTTCTGCATTCCCAGTTATAGGTTTGAGCCCAGTCAATCCTCATGGAGTGAATGACACCACCAACCCGTCAAATACAGCGGTTAAATGTTGTTTAAAACATTTCCCACTTCTTTCCTGAAGTCTTTCACAAAGGCTACTGAAAGAACACTCCTCTGCATTTCTCTGTGCTGAATGTTTTAAATTATTCTGAGTAACTTTACAAAGTCTTGGGTTTTATTTTAATGCCTCCCAATTTTTCTTCCAATTCAAAGAACACAACCTGAGTGCGTCTTGAGACAGCAGGTGCATATTCACAATAGGAGAGACTCGGCAGCAGAAAAAAATGACACAGGAACCGCCCTCCCCCATTATGAAAACACCTGAACCCAATTCATTTTTAACAGGCCTATGGCATCCTACTTCCACTCAACAGCAGGGGTACTACAGCAGGTGTGTTACTGTGTAATTAGAAGCTTTATCGTTACACTGTGTCAGCAGTGACACTAAGTTCCTGGCAAACTGGATCTAAAATTCTGGGAGAACTCTTCCAGCACTGCCATTAGCTTCTCCTCATCCTCCAGTGGACTGTGGGTGCTTGCCAGGGGTAAGTGTGTAGCGACTGGCTGCCTGTCTGTAAGGAAAAAAAAAATCCAGATGGGTACATTTAACTTTCTCTTCTAGCAGAAAGGATATTTTTCCGCTAGACTCTGTACTTCTCAAACATACCTCATGGTTTTGAAGCCAGGAAACATACCTTCTAGGAACCTGTAAATAATGTTAAGCATACCTCCTAAACCAGAAATTAAACTAATTCAATTTGTATTCTGGAACTATTTTTCTTCAACACAATGTGACAGACAGTGAAGCAAGATCCCATTTGCAGCTAGGGACAGTGCAAGAAAAAGGTGGCTTTATAGTAGGTTTGCACCTGTTCCCTGTCACTAGTGCAACACCTGTAGGCAAAGAGCAATAGCTGGAGACTGTTGCTGCAGGCAGAGGGTACTTTTGCAGCATGAGATGGGGTTTCCTTGCCTCCTGGTTAATGTTTCTAGTGCTACTCAAATCTCCAGTTGGAACTTAGTAGTTAGGATTATTTTCAATTTTAAAATGCTTACTTTCATCCTTAGAAATAATAGTTAAATTCTAAATGCCCAGAAACTTGAGCTGATTGATCAGTTGCCATAAGTAACATGTATCCAAGATGTCTGACCAAATTTGCTCAGTTCAATGTTTTACTTAGTTTTCCAAGTCTCATACTCCTCACTCCCTCTGTGTAAATATAGCTGTATCACCACCCATTCTAAGGGACTTTTCCATCCAAAAACACGGTATCTAGAGCCCAGATACCTTATGACAATGCCATCAGGTCTCTATGGAACAACAGTCAGAGCATTAGTGAAGCACTGTTAGTCTATTTAGGAAGTCCAACTTCCAAAGCAGCCAGCTGAGATGAATTGAACAAGCTGTTGCAACCCTGGGCTGCAGATTTCTCTGCAAACTTATCAGGCTGCCATCAGGCTTCCCAGGAGAGCAGAGACGTTTGCTCTCTTAAGAGCAAATGTTGTAACTGGCTGCACACACCACATAAATTCTCATGGAAAACTGAGGGGAGAGAAACATGCAGAGGAACATTCCCTTCTCCACCGAATATGAACTGCTTCCTACCTAACCACAGCACTTCAAGTAGACTGTGCTAAAATTTGGGAACTATGTGCGAAAGCCAAGTTCAGCATCACAGAGAGGATGCTTCTAGTTTTTGGAAAGCAAGTCTCTGTCAAACATTTTTTATTTATTTTGGCACATGCAGATAATTCTGGTAGTACTAGTCATGTTCTCACTTCCTTTTATTTTTTTCCTCAGGAAAAAAAAATGCTGGCTTTAGTTTGGTCTCAGAGGGAACAGAATAAAAGAGAATGGAGAAAATGGAGAGAAGCTGTGACTGAGTTGGAAAATGGCTGCCTAGGACCAGAAGCACGGCGTCTGTGGTAAAGTGCTCCTGCACACCAAACCCTTTACTGAAAATGCCTGAAAAGTGCCCATACGAAGCTGTGGCTTCCAAAGGGCAGCAGCAGAGAGAAATAAATTACTTCGCTATTTGATAGGCATGGGACACAGACACAGGACCTCTCTTGCAGCCTTAAGAGCAGTCATGCCAGGACAACAGCTCTCAAAAGTCAATAGCTATAGCTAAAGAGCCAAGGTGTGTTCCCTAAAGCTGGGAGTAGAAAAAGGCCAAAGGCAAGAGCCTGGTGGAATTATGATCTAAAGAAACAACAACTGAGCAGAAGCTTCAGGACCAGAAGAAGGTGATCAGAGTAAGAAAAAGGCAAAGCCTAGTTCTACAAAGAAGGCTGACCAGATGGGATGTGTGGTTTCCACATGCACCACATGCTGACATGAAAAAGGTCTGGTTAAATTTCTGTCAGCCAACCCTGTGTGAGTGTCTGTGGGACAGAAGGGACAATGTCGACCCAACTCTGGAAGTCTGAGCTTCCTGCATGCTTCATATAGAAATTTGGTGAATCAGGATTTGAGTGCCACATCCAACAAAAGTACTGAGCTTCTGTAAGCAATTACCCTGACCTTTTTCTTTCTGGACTGACCTGCTTCACCATTGAGGCATCCATACTTCCAGCTGCTCCTACAAAGATGCTTGTCATTTGCCTGGGAGAAAAGAAAGGCTCTACCACACTTTTCCACTCCCTATGCTCACAGTGCCAAAAATGCCACCGTGCTCAAGTCTCTGCCCAGCATTAGAGAAAGGGGGAATTGGCAGTTTTAGCTAGCATGGAATGGTAGGAAGAACAAGTCAGAGCAAAGCCATCTCCCAGTGCTCTGTGAGAAGGATGCTCATTTCCTAGCATCATAAAAGATGTTGTTTGACTGCTGTGATTCACATTCCCTTGGCACAGTCCAATTGATTTAAAAAATCCCCAACCCTCCCTAAAGAAATGTTTTGAAGTCTCTATCAGCTACTTTGGAGGACAAAAGCAGAATCATAACTTAACACAACGCTCACTTGAACCTTTAGTCTTGTAACGATTTTGAGAAATGCTTTATCCTTTGATCAAGTTGCCTGGTCCAGCCTTCATCCCCTTCCAGGCCAGACAGGGATCCTACAGTTCGGGCAGCTGAGGGATCTCCACTGCTATTCAATGTAAGACACTGCCTCCTTACCTTGGAAGAACAAGCCGCTCGGTAACTTGGTTGCCTCAGCTGATACTGCCAACCATACCACAGTGTCAGCTCCCTGGGCCTCTGTGCGCAGGGAGTTCTTCATCTTCTCGTAGAAGTCTGGCATTGACGACCTCACGGCTAGAAAGAATAACAGTGGAATGGTGGTCTGCCATGCAAGGCTTCTTTGATTTAAAAAAAAAAAAAAAGAACAGCTTAAAATTGCCATTCTGAGTGTAGGAAGAAGAGAAGGCACCTTGCAGTTTTTGGAAGAAAATGAGTATTTCCCCATAGCAGGGAGTATGATGGCTTGTGGGAGAACAGCGCTAAGCTGCCACATGATCCATCAGTTGTTTGTTTGGGCCAAATGACAGGGACAAAACTAGTAGGAGCTGAGAACAAGATCAGTGAGAGGTTCCTGTGCCAATTCCATTCTAAACTGTAAAGACTGCAAACACTGGCAAAACAGAAATTCCAAAAAATGAGTATTCTAATGGGATTTTTAGCTCTTATTTTCTCATCAGTTTTAGGAAACCAGTTGCAGCATGTATTAAAAAACTGTATGGTGAACACTACCTAGACCAACTGCATAACTCCTGTCTAAGCTCTGTTTTCATTTCATTGTGTCCAACAATCCTGCAGGTGTTTATTTTTGGGGGTTGGAGAGTTTTTTAACTTTAAGGTGGGATAACTTCATGGTTCATTAGGTTTGAAATTCCCAAAGGCAGTGCAAAAATAAATGTATTTTAAAGAAAAATAAATACCAGGATATTTAGTTGGAACAGGCGATTTTCAAGCATAAAGTAGACAGGGTAAATGCTTTCGTCATCAAAAGCAAATTTGGGAAACTGCATCCCTATAAAAGACCTAGAGATGGGACTGCTATTCTGCATCCCAAGCTCGGGCGCTGGGGGTGGTAACATATTGGGGAATGCAACATTCATACTGGATAATTGATGCTGGCCTACCTGCTGAGGCACAGTCACTGAAGAACAGCTGCAGCTCAGACAAAGAGCTGTCTGGACAAACTGCTTCTTGACAGCAGTAAATGTTTAGAGGAAGAGTAGAGGAACAGGGCTTGCACAGGGGTGCATTCTCCATTTTCCTACATGCCCTCATGAATTCCCAACGTCTGCATGTTGGTACTTAGAGAGTGCATTTAACATCTGTGCATTTAACAGTTCCACTACAAATGTAACTTAAAGGTTACCTTAAAGAACTATGGCTCTGCTGTGCATTTGTGCAGGGCTGGAAACATTCATTGCCCATTATTATTCTCTGGATGTACACAGATAGACACTGTGCAGAATAGAGCTTCCAAGGGGATACAAAACTACCTCTAGCACCAGTTTGGAGAGAAGAATTACTGCACCTGTTGGAAAAATCTACCAAGAAGTTTCATGTCTCTTGCTTTTAGACTAATCCTGAAAAGAAAAAAAATATAGTCGGAATGTGAAGCAGATGTTACCTGGAGTGTCTGCCCAGCCGGGGTGCATTACGGAGAAATGGATGTTTCTGTGAGCTTTTGCCCACTGTTCCGTCAAGACAACTTGCTGTCTCTAGGATAGAGCAACAAGAGCCAGACTAGCATTGAGTTCAACAGCCTGTTCACCTAAGTGGTTCCCAGGGAAATAAACTACATCAAATGTGCTGTAAATACCAGAGCATTTATGTATAGCAGAAATACACCCTTGCTCATCCTGACTAGATTTACTGGTTAATTTCATCAGAGACCACCACACTCACTGCCATCCATATCCTGGCCACAAGCTTATTTATAAAGCAGTAGCACTGCTTTTTACTGACCACATCTACTTGCTGCAGACTGTAGGCAAGAACTAAGCAGGCAGACAGGGTTCATCAGCTAAAGACAGTTTTCCCCCTTGAGACTTCTATCACATCAAATGAAAATCCAGCCATGCTCTTCATGCAAGATGTATGCACTCACAAGGGTATGCCAGCACACTCCTGAAGATTATTGCCCATGTGCCTCTATATGGGTTGGATGCAATGGGAAAGCAACAGGCTTTTTGCAAAGCTGATGGTCTGAGCTGCTTAGCAAACACGTGCTGGGCTTTGCTTTCAATACCATAGACTGTACCTTGTTCTGTGCATACACCATAGTTCCATCAAATGTCCCATTTTCCGACTGCAAGTCAGATATGTTTAATTTTTGAACTAGCATGCCCCCAGAAGAGACAGTTATCTGTAATGAAATGAATGAAAAGCAAATGAATGAAAAGCAAAACCAGGAACTCCCCACAATTGCATTCATGCATGAAATGAGGTCTTCAGGCCATATTTGAAAGTCCGTAGGGAGCAGGATTCCTCTGCATACTCTTTGCACTATGCTTGTGCTCATGTGTGGAGCATACCTGAAGATGAGGTGGAAGAAATACAAATTTTTTTAGGAAGTGATTTTCATTCAAAGTGGTGTTGATTCATTTGGGGGATTCTGTGCTTCTTCCTTTTGAAAACTAATGGGGAGAAAGAAAGTAGCAGAACAGCACTATTTGTATTTTGTTTCTTTAGCATTTACAGAAGCTAACTAGAAAACAAGAGGCCATACAAAACTTGGGAAATATAAAATTTTAAAAAATGCACTTGCTGTCTTATTTTACATCAAGATCTATAAAGTTCTTTTAAGCCTATACTCCTGTGGTAGGTATTTTGCACCCTGCTGCAAGAGGTAACTTGCCTTAAGGAAAGTAAAAGGGTAAGTTTCCAAAGGAAGTGTTTTACTCTGATTTCCAATGAAGGGTTGAGAGTAGCAAGCAGGAGCTTCGCCTTGGAGAAGGAGGTGGTTGTTAGCAAAATCCAAGAGGATTCTGAGATGCTTACAGCATTATAACTAATTCTGCATTCCTAGTACAAAGAACTGCTGTCACAAATCAGAAGGTAAGCACTGTAAAGCACCCCATTTAAACAGTATTACAGACTCACCACTCTGGCATCAGCTTCTTTTCCCAGGAGGGGCAGCAGGGCAGTTGTCAGGATGTATGTACCTAAAAGACAGATAGGCACCAACATAACTTTTCTTTTTAAAAATGCTTTCTTCTCCACCCACCTTCTATAACAACCCGAAACCCAAAGTCTCTGAAACCTGATCTGAATTTGACAATGATTTTTTTTTAACTGCTTTACCTGCAATGTGCCAACTCAACTTGTAGTGGTTCATGTTGCCGTTTACTTAGCAAAAAGCATATCCATTATTTTGTAGACTTTTATGTTTATTGTACCTATAGACCAAACTGCTCACTACATTCAGTCATAAATCTGAAGGCAAAATGGTTCAGATATGGAATTCCTTGGATGGGGGGAGGTGATGCCAGTGAAGAAACAGGGAATGCATTTCCCCCCCACCAAGTGTGGCAGATATACACAGATCTAGGCCAGGTCACAAATGAGAGAAGAAAATTGTGCTTCACACTTGCATTTCTTAGGACTCTGCATATGCACTTAAGACTCGTCCATTTTTGCCCTCTCACTGTGAAATCACTCAGAGTACACTGACACTTTTGATTTGTGTTGCACACAAAAACCGCCTCTTAAATCCCCAGCATGATCATTACAGAAGATAAGGAATCCTTGGGGGAAAAATATTAATGCTGCTTGCCCAAGGCCAAGCTAAGATTACTTGGGGAAACTTAACTGTGTCCTTCCCTGCTTTAATCATGTTTGTTTAGCATAGAGTTGTGCACACCACACAAATATATTCCATTACAGCTGTTACCATGACCCGCAAAGTTTGTTATTCCCATCAGTGTACAACTGTTAGTGTATTTGATTCAGACACATAGACACACCTAGTGATGTTTCACCCACTCGAGTGCAACACAAAGATTTTGCTTGGTTTTATCTCTTCAGAGATTTTTTTTTTCCATTTAAAATATATTTTAAAAAGGTCTGTTTAATTAAAAGTTAATCTAGCCCCATTTAGTCTAGCGTTTCTGCATCTGTTTCCCTCTCATGCCTTTACAAATGGCTCTAGTTCAATAATTCTATGTCAGAGATAAATGCATTTTTTTCCATGAGCAACTGAGGCCATGTTTTTCACTAGGCATGAAGACTTGAGCATGTCTTTATAACTTCTCTTCCTCACAGACAATGAGATCACCCAATTAAAATACAGAAAAAAAATAAAAAAATTAAAAAAGAAAAACTACCAAAATCAAGCATGTTACATGCTTGGTGAACAAACTGTTCAGTTCCCCTGTCAGTTACAGCAGTCTTCATTTTCTCTATATAATCAGAGGCACGCTCATAGGCACATAATATATTTAAAACCCTGGCAAATCAAACAAAGCAAATACACAGCAGATGAGTAAATGCAGCCTGTCTTCAGCAGAAAATGCAAGCAAAGGCAGTTGCCAGCGAATAACGAGAGCCCGAACGTCTCCCCTGGTGGTGGCGGGGAGACTGAGCGATGACATCATTAGGACAAGAACTGCCAGTGACTGTCATGGGAGACTGCCGCGCTGCCGCGACGGAAAAAAAAAAAAAAAAAAAAAAAAAAAACACTTCAGTACAAGCTGAGAGCCTGAATTACATGTTGTTTTGCTATGGATTCTTCAAAATGCAAAGTAGCATTATGTCTTGGTTAAATAAGCTGCATGTCCTAAAGGCAGAGCTGCAATGCACCAGCTATGACGATGCTCGATTTTACTGTCCTGCAGATTACTTAACACTTTTAAGGGGCTTCATGTTGATTTGTTAATTCCAAAAAGCTGCAAAGATGAATGCATTAACGTTGCCTCATTAACAACTGAGTTTTGTTTTGTTTTCCAGCTGGAGGAGAGAAATGTTTCATGCCAGAAATCCTGCTTAGAGCAACTACAGCTTGTCAGAAGTTTATGTGCTTATTTAAAACCACAAACTAACTGCAATGCCAGTGTCTCCTCTCTTCCTCAAGTTTATTAAGAATTTGGTAAATCCCACAAAGCCAGAGCATTCTATCTTTTTACCCCATAAAACCACTTGCTCATTTGCTTTGAGACAGAGCACAAACAGAATAGTTTTGATCCCAGCTTCCTATGCTAAGCAACAGCATCTCAAAACACCCACAGATGCGATGCATCAGGCATTAAGGCTGAAGCATATAATCTCACCCACTACTAAATGTTTCACCAACTACTGTCCCCGTTTTAAGGGTTTGAACACAAACTCCTTACTGCTTTAACAAATATACTTGGATGTTATACGTTCTTATTTGCCTGGGCTGGTCTGTTAGGCAAAACAGGCTGCATAAGAAATTAGAACAGTAATAACAGAATAGATATACCTTATAATAAGGTTTACTGTGGGTTGGAATACATCATGATCACTTGAAACTTCCATATTTTTTATTCAGGCAGACAGGAAGGACACTCAGGAGAGCCAGTGCAGAGGCCTGGCACAGCCAGGTACCTCACAGCAGGTATTTTGTCAAGCACAGCTATATCGCAGCATGCAGCAACACAGAAATTAATTTCTAAGTACAAGGGGAAGCTGCAAATGAATGCATTGCCTGTCACAGTCCTTATAAAAACATGGATCGTATTAACACTATAGGAAAAAAAAAAGGAAATTTTTCTGATTAAAAAAACCCAACCAAACAAACAACTTTGCAAGCAAAACCAAGACTGATTTGGTAGAAGAAACTAATATTCACCTCTGCCCCTACTTAAGGAAATCAAGGTAATATCCAAATTGTATATCCTTTTGCCAATACTTGATTATTAATACCAATGTACTGGATATCAGCCTTTCCAAAATGAACACTTGAGCATTCTAGTACCTTTCCTTGATATAAAAATAATTTTTGTCTGTTAAAGGAGAAACCTCCTCCCATGAAGCTTAGTTAAAAAAGGTAAAGCTTATCAAATGTGACTAATGCTTAATTATCACTGTGTTCAAACTGTACAGATTTTTTGAGGTTTCTTTTTTATTTAATAGTTTAACACAAAAGTATGTGAAAGGAAAGGTGACAATCAATGGAGATGTGCCTTGCACTAAAAGCATTAAGCACTGGTTATCTTGGTGATCCTGTTTCTTCCCTGAGAGGACCTTCATGGTTCTGTCAGAAACAAAGGAATACCTTTTTTTTCCCAGAAAAAAAAAGGACTGCCAGTATTCCTGGGGGATTCTGGAGAAAGCACATCCCCATCTTGACCACATACTCTGTGAATGGAGATGCTCAGCCTTGAGGCCACCACATTTCCCAGTGCCTGTTCCACAGCACTTGTATCCATGACAGAGGAGGAATTGAGAGCCCTCTAGGATACATAGCAACTGAGAGCAGAATGTTTCTGTCTGAACAGTTCTCCTGGACTACGGCCCATTTCTTGCACAGGTCTGAGTGCCTGTGGAAAAGAGCAGGGTACTTTGAATTACAGCAGAAAATCGAGCAGCAGCCTCTTGCTCACACACATCTCCAGCCCAGCAGCAGGCAGGGAGCTATGAGCACACCCACAGGCAGTGCTGGACATATGGCTGCAATACCTGCATCTAGGACTGTGTGACATCATCATTTCCTGTCATTGGAAGGTATAATGTCTACATGGCCCAAAAGATTGTCTCCCATTCACTAGTGTAACAGGGGAAGGGGCAGGGGCGGGGGGGAAATCAGTGAAATGGTATATAGCATTTCCCTTTGAAAAGAAGTATTTTCTGTGACACAAAGGAGTTCAGCAAGATGAATTTAGGAGTTTGCTCAGAAGCAGCAGGAATGCAGAACGTGAGTCCAGTCTATCACACTCACTCACATACAGGATTTTGTCTTGCCCTCAATGAACTCTGCCAAGGTGAAGAGCTCACTAGCAAAACCTACTGGACAAGGTTCTGTATAATGAAGTTTGACACAGTACCTGCTTGCCCTGTTCTCTCCAGTTAAAAAGGCTCCTGGGATTGATGTACAACTTCTTTTAAAGATAAACAGCCTCTGCAACATCAGCTTTGCTTTGGAAAAATTACTGTAAACTCTATGTCCTGAAGCTGAACTCACATAATAGGAAATCATGTATAATACAGTGCAATTAAAACTTTCCTATAGAGCAACTCCACCATTACACATCATTAAACCAACTGTATCATATGGTAAAGTAGACAGCGTGGGTTGCCAATCTATGCATTACACATAGTCATTCCACATAAAAGTATTAAGCATGGCATTTTATGGGAACACATTTTGTTCATACACACTCCCTCACAAGTGCTGATCACATTCATGTTTATTTAAGTTTCATATTTACTTGCTAAATAAAAAAAAAAAAACAAACACCAAAAATATTGAGTCACCATACATTCCCTTGTGGCCTGTTTTGTAATTGCTCCACTTGCTCTGAGATCTTCTCAATTTAGTAGAGTAATCCAATATTGTGCTCTAATTAATAACTCCCATTTTTGACTTCACAGAGTGAGCTATTCTGTCAAGCTGGATAAGTACTAATTCAGTGGTTTCGCAATCACAGAGTGAAACATTAATGATGTAAGTGTAGAAAATGAGGCACTGTTATGGAGATAAACATTCAATTCATATCATCAGTTGTTTTAAAAAAAGCCCAAAAAACTATAAAAACCAGCCTGTCTGCTTCATAAACTCCTAAATAGAATTATGCTACCTTTCCCATGACCTGATGTAGAAGCTGAAGGGACTCTATGGAAAACACTACTTTTAGGTCTTGAGGAAAGGTAGCTCTGCATGTTCTTGCAACAGTTATTTCACTGTGGATCTCACAACATGCACTATCCTAGTGCAAGGGACAGCAGTCTACAGTGTATTAGACACTAGTCTTTCCCCCAGAAGGCTACAAATCTAGAACAGGAAACCAAGCAAAATAAAGAACAGCTCTAACAGAAAATACAAACAAACACTGTGAATGTAGATTTCCAAACTGCTGGTGTTGTAAATGAGCTTTAGTCTGCTAAAACCTGGAAGCCTCCTAGGATTCACATATTTCAGACTTAAAAATCAACAGGATATCACATTTAATAAATAGTACATCAACACAGTCCGATCTGCTTTACAGATTTAATGTGACCCTAAAACCTGTACTTTAGAAATCAATTTTAAAGAAAATTATGGTTTCAGCAGAAGTAATATTGTAAAGCCACCAGCTGTTTATAACACCAAATTAACTGATGATGCAATTATTCTAGACGCAAGTGTCTTGGTGGATTCTAGAATGTTTTTCGCTTGATGTTCTATCTGGCAATCAGTGGCAAATTGCTGGTTAGGTTTCTAGCCTGCTAACATTCAGAGAAGGGCAGGCAGCCAGCACCACACTCAGTGAAGTTTTTCATCTGCCTGAGCTTTGCAGTATTAGTAGGAACAGTGTTATTTCGACTGTGAAAAAAAGTGGGAACAAAAAAAAAAAACTAACCACCAAAAAACTTCTATTGTACAGATTTCAATGGCTCATTCGTCTGGTAAAAATCAGATAAACTGGCTTGCTTTTCTTGAGTCCAAGTAAAAATACACAAAAAACCCCCAACAAACAAATTGACATTCTTCCTTGACCTGGTTATCTTTTCAAGCCTACAATTTATGCAGTTCTTAGTCTCAGAGATCCCTGAGTCTCTTTCCTGAGTACAAGCTCAGGAATGAAGATTTTAGTGTGCTGTCTCTGAGGGTCAATTCCAATGCACTAGCAATAACAGAGTATGTAGGAAGAGTCAATAAACATGAAAGACAAAACAAAGGTTTACATTTCCCTCAAATTACAAAGCTCAGCTCAATAAGGGTTCCTCTGTGTCCTGGGAACCTAGGCTTTAGTACAGCTACTGGATGTGCAATTATATTAAACCTTATCCTTTCAGGTGGCATCTCTCATCTGTAAGTCTCAAACCTCTTTAGAAAGAAAATTGGTATCACACTCTCCTTTTCACAGGTGAGATTGTCTTTCCAAAGCTCAGGCATTGAACTAATGGCAGACTGGCAGCTGATATCCAAGTTGTTTGACTTCCAAGTAATTCAGAACACAGTTGATCAGGCTCCACCGGCTTGTGTGAAACACCAGTTAGATACAGTAAATGTGTAGGGAAGAGACTGACAAATACCCATACAGGTTGGGGAGTTTGCCAAAGATGGGCTGTACTGCTACTGTGATAGATAAACATCTTATTTCCTCTGGCTCTACTGCTTCTTGCACTGAGAGTAAATGTGTATGTCTATATATTATTAAAACATGAGAGCACGTTAGATTGAAGAAAAGGTGCATACTGGGAGCATCATTTATTTATCTCTGAGTGTGTTTTAGCATCCTCTTGGCTGGTAAGTAGCAATAAAAATGTAACATATATGCCATTTTTCCATGTCAAGAAGGAAGATGTGTTGAGTAAAAGTAAAGTGAGGAAGGCTATAAAACAGAGGAACAAAGATTGTTTCAGCTAAATGTCTGGTGCTTTAATGAGGACATGCTGCTTTTGCTGACACGTGCTTATCAATGCTGACATTTTTTTCTAAAATTACTAAATAGGGCCATCTTTAATAGTCTTTGCTGGGAGTTATACTAAAACAAGTAAAATAAAATTAAATTAAAAAAAATGTTGACTCAGAAGTTTGCAAGTCTCATCAGATGAAATGATTGCTTGTTGCTGCCCAACTCCCAGATACAACCCTGAGTACATGGTCAGCCCACAGGAAGAAATGTAAGGGCAACATCACAAACTAAAGAATACAAAAATAAAAATCTGCCCATCGGGATTGGCAGCTCCCCAGGAAACCTGCCCGCATCACCCCAAGCCAGTCACTCCATTTCGTACTGAGGGTGTGTTTCAATCAGCAAAGTGCTATTTCAGACTCATGTCTGGTTAGTTCTCCCATATTTGAGTCTGAGTGCTCCACAACTGTTCTGCTCTCTACACCTTCACTGAGCTCCAACAATCAGTCAACAATTCTTGAGGCTCTAGCAGGGAAAAAAGGAACAGTATTTCACTTGACAGCAACAACAGAATCATGACAAGCCACACAGTGTTTGAGCCTGATCCCCATTCTAAGGATGCTACAGGCACCAGCACAGACGCAGCTGCCACTGCCTGCTCAAAGCAGCTTACAGTTTGAACTTGAATATCAGACAAACCATACAAAGCCTGAACTTTCAACCTGCATTTTGCATATTCCTGACCTTCACCCACCTGCATATTCTGACAACATCAGAGAGGACTGTACATGTCCTATTTCAGTTGCTGTCCTCAATTAGCCAGTCAGCAGTGTTTGACATTAAAGGAATTTTACTTCCTATTCCAACCTGTATTAAATTTGTATATATGCAGTCCTTTTTGTCCCATATACGCCCAAGAAAAGATCAAGATAAAAAATGTGTTTCACAAGGCACATGATCAATTAGAACTGAACTCTTGGCATCCATTATGCTCAGAAATGGACTAACAGATCAGTTACGAGGGAAATACTCCTACAGTGAATTTAAAAGCTCCACAGCATTTCAGACACCTAAAAGAGTAAATTTACCGCTTATAGAAGCGTTAATCAGATATCAGATACAGAATTCAAAGACTCTGTTTTGCATTTAAAGCTTTTGATATTTCAGAGTCTTGCATTATTAGACAGTTACAACCTACATGCTCCTTTACTAGATCAGAGCTAAGATCCAGGGTAGAAGTAAACAATGAAAGAAACATAGAAGGAACACCCTTAATGTGAAGATCTGCAAAAGGTACTGATATTATTCTATCTTGTTTCTGCAGAGATCATTCAAGCATTTCCGTGTTGCTATCGAGGGGAATGACTGTAGATTTTTTAAACAGGGGTCTTGAGCCCACACCACCCTTCAGGCTTTAGTGCTGCTGGGACAGAGAGGGGAATTTAATTTGTCCTCTCAGACCACATGCTAGTTTACAGCCAACCTATATACCAGCCATACCCAATTTAGCCAAGTTTTCCTCTGGGAACCTATAAACACAGGTAGTTACTGACAGAGAAATAACTTCTCCAAAGTGAAGCACACCCAAAGGCATCTCATGCTTGGGAAAATAACACAGCATCTACTCTGAGAGGTGTTTCTCCAAACAGCTTTCTCCTACTATGGCTCCAGAAGTTACGATTTATTACCCTGTCTGCAATTTTGAACAAAAAAGCAGGCACTTTGTAGCACTGGTCCTTCATGTGTGTCTGACCTGCAAGCACAGAAGCTTCCTCTTGTACAGCCAGCCTCTTCCAGCTCAACCAAGTCCCACTCTGTTCTAAGAGATTCAAAATTTAATCCTTATTCTTGTCTAGAGAGAACCGGTCTAAGCAAAGAACCCAGTCCTTGTTTGAACTCTGAAGAACCTGGACAACAGAGGATGCCTCACCTCCTTAAACTTCTTATACAACCATGCAGCAAGTGATACACAAATAAATAAAGGAGATCTATGGGTAATATTCACAAAAGATAATACAGGCATTTTCCTAGTTTGCTACAACCATAATTCAGCTTCCTCTGTGCAGCTGTATATCACTAGTGAGGCTGATTTACAGCTGGGAAAGCAGAACTTGCTGCTTCTACTTTTGCGATAAAATATAATTCAAGTGATGCACTAGTACGGTTCATCAGCAATTAACTTCCTCAATGTTTAAAACTAAACCAAAACAAGCTTTTGCATTCAGACTGTAGTATTTGTTTCACTCTGCTTCTCTCTGAAAGAACTGTATCTTTGCACACTGCTGGATTTTTGTTTGAAAAACCACAAGAGGGTTAAACTAATTTAAGGTGAATACATTTCTCAGTGCAGAAGTTCTTGTACTTCTGCAGCCAGGGGAAATTTGATGGCAAAATAAAATAATTATTAATTTTTTGACTATGGGAAACAAAAGAATGTTAGCAGAAGATTAGTTTGAAGGAAATGAATCTGTGCCTTTATTCCTGATTTGTCAGTTTAATTTAGTCAGACTAGCAGAAAAAATAAGTTGTATACATTATATCAGCAAAGCACAGGACATTTATACCTAAAATGTTAGTTTACAAAGCAACACAGGAAAAAGGCTAAGAATAAAAACCAACAGTGGTTTCCGGGTTATGCTAGTTCTATAAATGCCTTATCTTTATAGCCTAAGCTTTCCCCTTCCTCATTCCAGACGCTGATGAACAGGAGAAAAACATGAAGCACCACAGTTCCTCCTTAATGCATCACTTTTGAATATATTAAAGGCAATTTCTTGAGAGAATCACCTACATTGCACAGAGACAGAGCGTCAGGACTCTTGGTTGATGCAAGCACCACATCTCTCTTTGCAAGAGGTGCAGCTTTCAGCCCTACAGGTAGCAGCAGCAGCAGCTGGCTCGTTGTTTGCTCGTTGGCTCTCTCTGCTGGCTCCTTGTTTGCTCACATCTTTTCCAGGGCTTTTATGGGGGAACTTTCCAATTTGCTTGCCATCTTCCCTGCTCATCCGCATCTCCCCTTTCCTCTTGACTTGCTTCTCTTCACTTGTGCCTCTTATACCACCATGACACAGTTCATAGGTTAGGCCCCTTCTATGTGGAGTGCCCAAGACTTGCCCACTACTGCTCTATCACCTGACTAGAGATTACATCTCTTTGAGAGAGTGCAGGGCACTGTATACAGCACAGTCTTCCTACACAGTGCCTGTCTCACCAAACAGGGCTGTGCAAGCCTACTGACACATTTGAATGTCTCTTTAAATACCTGAACATGCTCCAAGCTCTATCCAAGCCATAGAAGCACACTTATTACAAAGAGCATCATTAGCAGCACTGCTTGGAACAAAATTTCCTAGCAAATTTTGAATTATTTAATTAAATCTTATCTGCAGTTGTCCACTGCTGCTATGATAAATAAAGGTGCTGACAGCAGAACAGTTGAAAAATTGAGAAATTAAAAACAATGACACTCCAAACAAGCTGTAATATTTCTTCTTTTCCTTCCCTGCTCCTTCCCTGGCTTAGCAATGGTACAATCCCTCTTTAAGCAGGAATACGTTCCTCATGAATCCAGCTATACAAACACACTTCTGTAACCAAAATAAGTATGTTCCAGAACTAAACAATCCATACTCACCCAAAGTGTTTGTTGCAAAGTTTTTTTCAAGTCCATCTTCAGTTAACTCTCTGTTATTCACCATACATCCTGCATTGTTGATCTGTAAAACAATTCCTTTAAACAAAATAATCTACACAAATGTCTACAAGGAAATCCACACATACAAGCAGTCAATGTTAGTTTGCTGGGTTTTTACACTGCAACACAAAGCCACAACCTGTTTCAATAAACCATGCTATTCCAAGTCACTCTATGGCTGATCATAGAGGTTTCTCACAAAAGAAAGAATCCCCAGAGAAATGGCTCACCACAGATGTATTACACTAAGAACCAACAGTCCTCAGTGCCTTACTCCAAGTCTTTAAACTCTTTTTTCACAGAAAGTAATACGCAAGCATCTTTTTTTATTTTGTAGAAAAAATATTGGAACTTAAATATGCATAAGTAAACTGTACATCATGCAGTAGAATGACCCACAGGAACTCCCACCCTCAGCAAAAAAAAAAAAAAAACAACAAATAAGCTCCAAATCTGGCAGGTTATCCAGGTCAGCAGGTTGCTGCATCATAGTTAGCCCTGAGAAGAGCAGAGCTAACTAGCAGAGGTGCTTCATAGTGACTCAGTGTCCTGGTTGTAGGATCCCAGCTTTTCTGTCGACCTGGCAATTCTGCCCAGATGCCTCACCTGACTCACACATTGCCAAGAATAGTGCTGCACCACACAGTTGGTATGTATTGTAAGGCACATCCTCATGAATAGCCAGAAGCCTACAAGCTGTGTGCAACCAGCATAAGCTCAGACACACTTCTTTCCCTATTTTACCTTCCAGAGGGAGCTCGAGCTTTTCTTTCTCACCTCAAAACAATATCTGTCCCTACACACCTTCCTGCTCGTTCACTGCCACTCCTCAAAAGCTGTTTTCCCATTTTTATCAGAAGTTCCTCATCTACTAAGCAAGAAAAAAACTGCTCCAGGTGCCTCAGCTTTAGAACAGCCCCCTGAGCAAATTTTCACTGCTAAATAAAGGGGAAAGTGTACTGAGCCCCTTACCAACCATGATATTTAACTGTTTGCTCTCTCCCTGGCTCTATTTTAGACTTGTCTTTAGACTTTTCATAAAAGTTTAATCTTTAGGAAGGTCTAGTTTTAAGAGGGACAAAGTAACTAGTAATGGAAGTCAAACAGAAGGTATGTGATAAGAGTCTCAAAAGATGCAGCTGAAAAAGTACTGCTCTTCTCTCTTCTTGTAGCATATCTTTGTGAACTGAGAATGGACAAGAGCAAACAGACCATGGGGACGCCCGAAAAAACATTTAGAAAAAATTAAGCAGAGAACTGGAAGAAAAATTGTGACATCTACATGACCTGTTGGACAAATTCATAGGCTATGCACTCCAAAGACAGACACAAGGTTTAAGTATGTAAACTTACCAACACATTTAATTTATGTTGATTTCTGAATTTTTCAGCAAACTTCCATACTTCCTTGGGATTAGATATATCCACAATATGCAAGAAGATATTCTAAAAGAAAAGAAACTTACTTATAAATAACAGGGACAGTGAAGAGACCCTTTTCACTGCTTAGGCTTGTCTAGGTGAAAAAGTACTTAAGCAGTATGAAAAAAATATTGTCTCCAGAACACAACTAAAACAGGTTAACATGCACAACTGGGAAATATAATTCTAGTCCTTAAAACATGCTTAGTCACTTGATTCAGCTGCTTCTGAGANAGCTTTTTAATGCCAAAGTTATTAAGAGAGAGTCCTACTTAGATAAATACGTGACAGACAGTCATGCATAGCAGAGAACTAGAAAAATACTGCAAAGCTTGCAATACTTCAGTTTAAACAATTCATACAGCAGCTTCCTCTTTGGCTGTAAGTAACTTTCCAATGAAATGTTCAAGGTCACAGCATTAGAGAATAATTTAGCTTGGAAGGGACCTCTGGAGGCTGCTTGGCAAACTTGGAGATTCATCAGCCTGTCTGAGCCCCCTGCTCAAGTGCTTGATTACCCCCATGGTGAAAGTTTTTCCTGCTATCTACTCAGCATTTTTTTTACCCTGTTCTAATCTGTGTTGGCTGCCTCTGGTCCTTTCACTGCAGACCTCCAGGAGAAGCCTAGTACTGTCTTCCCTCCACACTCCCATCACATGGCTGTAGACTACAGTAAGACCCACCTTGGCCTTCTCAACACTGAGCAAAATCAGCCTCCTAGACTCACACTGTACATCACATGTACCTTTTCCCTTGTCACCTGGGCAGCCCTCCGCTGGACTTGCAAGACACTGCTGACTTCCTCAACCTGGGGAGTCCAAAACTGGGCACAGGAGTCCTGCTGTGATCTCACAAAGACTTAACAGAGAGGAAGATACACCCCCCTCTGCCTGGTGGCTAGACTCACGTTCACACAGCCTGGGGTGTGTTGTCCTTCCTTGCCGCAGGGCACACTGCTCACTCAGAAACAACTTGTTACCCCCACGTCCCTTTCTGCAAAGCTCCTTTCCAGCCAGCTAGGCAAAGACTGCACTCCACGCCATCACCTGAGCTGTTAAAGAGATATCATCAATTTTTGCCCCTGTATTGACTCACGGGGGTTGCCACTAAAAATCATTAACAGATCAGCTTTGTTCTGTTGATTGTTACTTTCTGAGCCACATGTTCCAGTTTTCCACCCACCTTGTCATCCACCAGTTCAAACTGCATCTCTCCAAAATGGCTACAAGGATAGCATGTAAAAAGCCTTGTCAAACCTCAGGAGCACACTGCTTCCTTCTTGTCCATAGGCAGAGCTATCTCATTAAAGGCAGCAATCAAGACAGTCAGTCCAAGTTGGGCCTTGAAAAATTCACACTGTGTTTTCTCAATCACCTTCCTGTCTTTCATGGCTCTCATGGATTTGCTCTGTAGTTTTCTGGGGAGCAAGGTGAGGCTGATCAACTTGTAGTTCCCCAAATCCTGCTTGCCTTTTTTGAAGATGAGTGATTTGTCTTTTTCCAGTTAACAGGAAGAACTTGCCACTTTGAAGAGCTTTTCTTTGAAGATCAACCAGCTTTTCCACAGCCTTTTGCTACCAAACAGCTCCATAAAAAAACAAAACAAAAATCTTCTTTCCTAAACCCAAATATTGTCATTCTACTACACATCCTTCTTGTCTGTCTTGATCTTAAATTCCACAGTCTCATGACCTCTTCCACCAAGGCAGTTGTTCAAGACTGCTACTGATAGCAAGTCCAGCAGAGATCACCTCTAGCTGACTTGGCCAACACTCATATAAAAAAAAATCATCTTTGATGTTCTCCAGAAATTTCCTGGCTTGCTTATGCCCTGACATGCTGCCAGCAGGTGTCAGGGTGGTTCAAGTGCTCCATGAATACCAGGACCTGTGACCATGGGGCTTCCTCAGGCCTCTAAGAAGACTTCATCTACTTCCTCTACTTCCTCAGGCAGTCTACAGCAGACATCCACCATGATGTCACCCACACTGGTATGACCTCTGCACCTTACCCAAAAGTTCTCAATGGGTCATTACTCATTTCAAAGCAAAGCTTCATGAATTCGAGCCACTACCTCACAGAGAGCACTCCTCTTCCTTGACTTTCCAGGTTCTGTTTCTAAAACAGTGTTGTGGTTTAACCTCAGCCAGCAGCCAAGTACCACACAGCCACTCCCACACCAGCAGGACTGGGAGAGAATCGGAAGGCTAAAAGGCTAGAAAACTCATGGGTTGAGGTAAAGGCAGTTTAATAGGGAAAGCAAAAGAAACACATGCAAGCAAAGCAAAACAAGCCCACGGCCATTCCACCCTGAGAATGCCCAATCTCATCTGATCTTACAAGCTAAGCAGGGTTGGGCCTAGTACTTGGATGGGATACTGCCTGGGAATACTAGGTGCTGTAGGCTTTTTACAAGGAACTAATCCCCTGCTTCCCAAGGGCAGGCAGGTGTCCAGGAGTGCAGGGCCACATCACACGTAACTGTTACTTGGGAAGACAAAATGCCATCACTCCAAACATCCCCCCCTTCCTCCTTCTTCCCTCCACTTCATAAACTGAGCATGATGTCACATGGTCTGGAATATCCCTTTGGTCAGTTTGTCAACCTGTCCCAACTGTGTCTCCTCCCAACCTCCTATGCACACCTAACTGCCTTGCCAGCATGGCAGTATGAAAAGCAGAAAAGGCCTTGGCTCTGTGTAAGCACTGCTCAGCAATAACAAAAACATCTCTGTATTAGCAACCCTGTCTTCAGCACAAATCCAAAACACAGCCCCATACTAGCAATTGTGAAGAAAATTAACTCTACTTCAGCCAAAAACAGCACAAAGGGCAAGGGAATACATCTACTCCACCACTCTAGTAATGCCAACCATTTCTCTCTAATCCCAGTGAGATCACAGCTCTGCAATCATGCATGGATTCCTGTGTTTCCTACATCATGTGTATTCGTGTATAGGCATCTGAAATGGGCTCCCAGTCATGCTGCTTTCACATGAAAACTGTGAGAGCTTCCTCCATTTTGCAGTCCCCTAGACATTTATTCACTGTCCCTGTGATTACTACCTAATGAAACCAGTTTAAAGTCCTCCTCATTAGCTTAGCAAACCTGCTGGCAAAGACACTCTTGCTCCAATTTGTCATTGCTGCTCAGTAATACTCACTTTTCAGAGGTCAAAGAGGTCATAAAGGCCATAGACAAAGTGACAAAGGCCAAAGTGACACCAGAAACACATTCAGGTGTTGACCTGCGGGGTGTGTATGCTCCTACTCAAGCCCTTCCCTTCCACTGTAAGGATTTAGAGGACCACTCCTTGGGCCCCTATGCCCTTGACTCCCTGTAAGCACTCTTGAACTCCAGGTCACCCCTCACAATGTCACAGGTGCCCACATCCTGGGCAACAGGAGGTATTGGTCCTAGGTCCAGACCAGCCTCAGCAGACTCTCCACAATACCTTAGATCTGAATCCCCAGCAAGTGACAAACCTCTCAAGCCATCAAGCCAAGACTGCAGATGGGTGCCTGCATCCCCCATAGGAAGGAGCCTTCAGCCATTATCACCCACCACTTCCTCCCACTGTCAACAACTGTTCAGAATCATGTGTCTCTAACACCTGCCCTGACAGAGCCTGTTCTTCCTCATCTGTTACCATGGCACTATACCTATCTTATAAATGCACATCTGCAGGCAGAGAACGAGCCTGCCTTCTGTTGCCAGCACTCACAAGCTTCCATTCCTCCTCATCTTAGGAGTCTCTATCCTCTGCCTACTCAAGCACAGCTTCTAGCTATCCTTCCTTCCATACCATGTGCTCTTCGGCTCTCTGTAAAGACCCTGTCAATCTCCTCTTTCTATTCCCTATGGCTATGCAGCCTGCTCACCTCCTGCTGTCGCTTCACCTGGCAGCCCAGCACCCTGATGACAGCAGAGCCCAGTAAACGAAGCCACCATCATACGCTGCCCCAGGCTCAGGGAAAAGCACCAGTCACTCCCTGCAGCCCAACATCTGCCAGATTATTCCTCTGGAGCTCGGTCTGGGCCAGTGTCCCATGTGCCAGGCACATCTGCTCCAACCAGAGTGGGAGAGCATGCTTTCAGGTGCACCACTGCACCCACTCCGGCTGTCTCAGAGTATCAGGTGCCTTCTGCATCCCCTTCCATGCTAACTGCTGCATTAAATGCTAAGTTCTTGTTAGTCATCCCGTGTCACAACACTCTTGCAGTTTTGCAATACTAAGGCCAGGAATGGGGATGCTTGACATACTGACATAGAGCAAAGTTATAATTTTCTAAACCACTAAAGCTAGAAATAATGCCTGCCTCAAAAACCTCTTGCTGTTTGTTACAGGCAATTCATTTTCCTTTTTACAGAGTTGTGTTCTACATAGTACAAGCACAGTGGCATTTATCTGCATACAAAGGCATGTCAACTCCTACTCTTCTCCTAGATAGCACTTAGTCTCAAAGACACACCACAGATAGTCTTATGACGTATCCCAGGAAAAGGCTGTTTTAAAATAATTATGCAGAGGATGTGTTCTCATGCAAAACAACAAATAATCATTAAAGGGCCTCCTCTCTTTCCAAGTTGTTTCTTTAAATACTCATTATACAAGCAAATGAGATAAGTGAAGAAGCCGAAAAAATTATATGGCATTATTCCCTGCCTATAATTCTGCTTTCCTGAAGATAAAAAGCACATGACTCTCTCTAGCCATTGGATTTCAGCTCTTTAGTTGAATTAGGGTCAGAATTTTCTCCTTGTAATAAGGTACTCTAGGATGACCTTGCTTGATGAGGGAGTTTGGACCAGATGACCCACTGTGGTCCCTTCCAACCTTACTCATTCTGTGAATCATTCTGGACCACAAACTTCACACTGCTCTACTGTTTTGAGCTGGATACCTCTAAAAGCTACTACTTTTATAGCTACTACTGTTATCTACTGGTAGAGAACAGCTAAGGTTTTTTAGGCAGATGCTCAATATTACAAGGGATTTCAGAGATTGAAAAAGATCTAATTCAACACTTATCTGCTGAAGACTGTCACACTGACTCAGTAAAAGGACACACACGCCTGTTCCCTATAAAAGTCCTCAGTGGTAGAAAAGCCATTTTCAAAGTGAAACCTAATCTTCGTGACTGGATCTGCTTCAACAATTTAGGAGAATTTTCCAGTTCCCAGGTCTAGGTGCAGGTGCCTGCCAAGTAACTCCATTTCAGCACTGAACTCAGGCATGTGTTGTAGAAAACGGAAAAAATCTTTGGTTATACACTTCATTATAAATGAAGCTTTGTTATATCCAAACTATCAGGAAGAGCAAGTTCAGTCTGGATACAGCTTGTCAAGTTGGAGATAAAGCATTATATTATCTCAATGGATTGCTTCTGAATGAGTACTTATAAAGAAGGATGTTCTTGGAGACTCCTTATTAAAATGCTCTTCCCACTGCAACGTGTCCCACAGGGCCTCTTGTACAGCTCATCTAACACTTCACTGAAAGCTGCTCTCTATACAAGTGCCCCATCCCCAGGGTCACAAACAAGTCCTGCAGTGCCCTTGTACTCTTTCATGACTACAGAAACTACAGGTTTGCAGCCTATCAAAGAGTGGGAATGCAGTAATTTGTCTGTCTTTAAAGGAAGAACATTATTTGCCTCAAGTTTTGTTTCACCAGATGACAGAAAACAGAACATGAAGGAACCTTCAGAGGTCAAACTCACCTCTTTTCCCAGACTGTCTGACTGCAGTTAGCAAGGGAGGTAGTACAGATAATCACCAGTCTTACTATAGCCATGGGATTACACAGCTATAGACAGCTGGGAAGTATTTATTTCTACATAACAACTGATCTAATTTACCTCCATTAAGGAACTGAAGTGTAATGCTGGTTGTGTCACACTAGGGAGCTGAAACCTAAAAGCAGAAATTTAGTCAATAAGACATCTCTAACCATAAAATGTCTTCAGAATTTTTGATCCACATTAAAAACTATTACTGGAATCAAAATACTGTGTACAAGAGCCAAGTCATTATTTAAAATGAAGATAGGTCTCCATCCAAGTGCTGTGGATTAACCCCAGTAGGTAGTTCAGCCCCATACCACCACTTACTCGCTCACTCCTCTCCCAGTGGAAAGGGGTAGACAATCATAAAGGCAAAACAGATAAAAACTTGTGGGCTGAGATAAAGACAGATTAATAAGTGAAGCAGAACTTTGTGTGTAAACAATGCAAAATAAAGAATTCATTCACTACTCCCCACTGTCAGGCAGGCATTTAGCAATCCTCAGGAAAGTAGGACTTCCTCCCATGCATCAGTGATTTGGGAAACACCATAACTGTGAATGTCCCCCTTTACTCCTTCTTCCCCCCAGCTTTTACGGATGATCCCTTTGGTCAGTTGGAGTCAGCTGTCCTAGTGATCCCTCTCCCATCTTCTCATGCACCCTCAGCCTGCTCATGGCAGAGCAGTGTGAGAACCAGAAAAGGCTTTGATGCTGTGTGAGCTCTCAGCAATAACTAAAACATGGGTTGTCAACACTGGTTTGGTCACAAATCCAAACCACAGCACCATAGGAGCTGCTATAAAGAATATTAACTTTATCCCAGCCAAAACCAAAAGCTAATGACCTATGTGCTTCTCCATAATCACATTCTCCTGAATAATTAGCAAAAACAACAGTGACAGCTACAGGGGTATACTGTAGAATGATACATACAGAGAAAAAGAATATGTAACAAAAGGAAGGAGGTAAGGAAGAGGTATTATAAGAAAATGAGATGGAAAGGCATGTAGAGCATGGAACTAGGACCACACACAGGACTTAACAGAGCAGCCAACCTTAGCAAACCAAGGGTATGTTATTCAGACACATAAAACCTTCAGCTCCAATGCAGCAGACTCATAAATGTTGTTGCAAGTGTTGCAATACATTAACTTTTAAAAGCCTCAGCCACATAGTTAGGAATAGTAAGTAGGACACCACAAAACATATCAACAACAAACATTAAATAAAACAGCATGCTGCTAATGATGTTACTTATCACAGAAAACATAATCTAATGAAATGAAATCAAACCATATGAATGATAAACTACAAGATGTTTCCACATCCGTATGAAAACACTATTAAAAACACAGGAATAAAACGTCAAAACAGTATCTCAAGGCCTTCAAGCTCTTTAATATTAACAATTTTTCTAAGAGTAAACAAGAGACTGAAAGGTAACTCACCTGATTGCCTGTTTCTGTCACTATTTCTTCTTGGGCAACCTCAGCCCGTTCCTTATTCCGGCAAACCAGATGAACTGTGCCACCTGGTGGATTGAGACAAGAAACACATTTGATAATTAATTACTAACTGCATTTGGGGGAGACATCAGCACTTTAATTGGGGGAGACTTTGAAGAAGAGAGGTGGAAGATTTCTGCTTGGTTCTGGTCCCTATGAAGGCAGGCAAGGTGAAGAAAGTATCATGCTGTAATAGGGTCCTCACACAAGGCTGCATGTATGGAAAAGACCACTGCACTCCAAGTACTGTCTGCTCAAACCTTTTTCTGTCAGGTCTGTACATCATATTTAGTGGATGAAATACTTGAGCCATACTGGAGATTGAAGCTAAGGCATCTATATTATAAATGCTCCTTTTGATACACGCCTTAGAAAGTTCAGTAAAGGGCCTGAGCAACACAAGTGACTAGAATTGCTCTGTGAAAAGGAAATAAAAATGCCAGGTATAAGAATTCTTCTCAGCAGTGGAGATATGACAAGGACCATGGCCTCAAATTGCAGTTTAGGAGGCTCAGGTCATCTATTAAGGAAAATAATTTTCATTAGTTTTCTTCTAAAGAGATCAGGCTGTCCCAAGAGGATGCATAACTTGCATCCTTGCAGGTTTCAGGCAGCAAGACAAAGCAATGACTTGTTTGATGTAGCGTTGCCAACAGTTGCTTCAAGTGAGATGCTGAACAAGGTGACCTCTACAGGTCTCTTCCAACCAACTTTTCATTGAAAGGAACACCCAGGGCAAGGTTTTTCTCAGAGACCTGGATACTTGCCATGATCTCATCACTTAGCCACATTAAAGAAAGCCTTCAAAAAGAGGACTAAAGTAGGCATTTTTTTTTTATTTTTATGCCTTGTATTCTCTGATCATTACAAGTCATGCTTTACTCTCAGTCACAGGAATACCTGTACTCTTTACTTTTACCTATTTTTAAAGGTGTCTTAGGGACTGCTAACAGTTCACCACTAGAAAGGTCAAGGAATGTAATCCCAAAGGATGCATAATAGTAACAACAGTGCCAAGTCACTCTTCTAGTGCCCAGAACCCGAATGCAAAACACCAAGACTACCCTAGGGATAGTGCAGTCACACACTGCACAGCCCAGTCTGGGGGCTGATAATGAAATTTTCTGTTTACGACAGAGGTTTTTCCCCTGAGCACCACAATAGCAAGTATCCTTGGCATGCAGCTGATGGGGCCAACAAGCCTCAAGGTTCTTCTGAAGTTTCCTAACAGCATCTGATTCCTCCACAGCACTTCCAGAGCTGTCTGGGTTACTTTTACCAAGTGCACAATCACAGGCAGCCATAGGAAACTCCTGAATCTGGGAAAACAATACAAATTACACTAACTGATGTTTAACACAGTTAATCTTCATTTTGTGTAACACAAACACCATCCCATGGAAGGGACCGTGCACAGACAGGCACTGAATATGAACAGATCAGAATGAAAGACATTCTTTGCTGCAGGGAAAACAGATCTCATGAGTGAGAGAAAAGTCAATCAGAAGGGGCAGTGTCCAAGGCTCATTTCTTTGGCCATTCTCACAGTGACTGCAGAGTTCACTGCAAAGGAGGGCTCCAAGGACCTTAAGGCAGTTAAGAATGTGCATTTGCAGATGTTTAAGAAGCTCTTCCCAAAACACAAAGGACTGCACAACTAATGTGTGCAGGTACAAATTAAACACATGGAAGAAGCAGCTGGCCTTCAAGCTGATCAGGAACATTCTCAGAGTCTACAGCAGAAAAACATTCCACAGAAAGAGATGCATTTTTAAGGACTTTGGATATAAACTTTTTTGTTGCCTTTGAGGACATAGGGGAAGTTTTGGTGTGACCTATGGGTTAGGAAAGGAATTTGAATACATTTTCCACAGTAAAGATGAAATTATTTGAACTTAACACATGTGAATTGTCAGAGTAATTGGGAGAAGACTGTATCAAGCCGGAAGTGCAGTTCACAAGACACAGAGGAAAGCCCAAATCTGCATACCCATAAGACACCAATTCAGAGAAAAGCTGAACTCGGACTACAGAAATTGTCATCGAGATCATTATTAGTCAGAAAGGTCTGAGTGCTTGAAAGTAAAGCCAACATAGCTTGATTATTCTTTTGCTGAGTCTGAAATCCTTATTATCTTGTCGTGGTGTACTTTAAGAGATTCAACTAGAAGCCAGGGCCGCAACACTGAGTTTCAAAGTGACATGTTTGAGAACAGGATCAGGAAGGCATTTTAATTTCATATGAAACGGCAATGCCCATACAACGCATCAGACACACAGTCTGAGCCCAAGGTTGTTCTGCTAAACATGGTGACCAAATCCCATGCAGATCCAGCCAGCCTTCCAGCTCGCAAAACCTGGCAGGCATATCCATTTGTGAGCAAAACAGTCACCAGACAAAGCAATACTTACATAAAGCTATTATGTATAATAGCAGTAGTGGAAACTTGATATCAATCACATGCTGGTACTGATGAAGATCTTTAACCCAAAGACTCTTTGATGCTAATAGTTCTGAATTAGTTTAATTTAACTGAGTCGCACTTTCCTTCACAAGGTAGTTATGAAACCTAAGCACGCAAGGAGAGAGCAAAGACGCACAAGCTCCTCCTTTTTATTCTACATGCCAAAACTCCTATCACTCTTGCACAACAAGAATTATTTTGTCAACTCTGTAAGGGATTACGTTTATCCTTTAACAGCAGTTAGGTCCAGTTCATACCCTCTCCTTGCATTCAGAGAGCCAGATAAAAATAATTGCATGTAATCAGCCAAAAGGCCCAAACTCCAAGCTATTATCATTAAGAGCAAGCACAACTACATTGCTTCTTCTATACTCTCTCATCTCAGCTTTGCAAAGCCAATTGTTTTCTTTCATCATATGATAAATTCACAAGTTCTTCAAAATAGTTCAAATTCAGCCAGGCTGCTACTTGTACTGAATCAGCTTTAAAAAGACCATGATCCATCACCAACATCCTTAGATGCCACAATAACACAAATAGTTTTTGGTAAACATGCACTTAAAAAACACTGTGCAGATCCTCTCCACTCATTTGGTTTCATTATGCCAGTTTTCACAGCACCAATTGCGCTTAAACCTGTAACCCACGCTAAGAGCTCAGTAAAATGACCCCTCATCCCATGCATTTGTGTGTGTTTATGCTGGAAGGCCAAACCTGCTTCCTTCCATGTTATCTGCATCAACTCCTCAGAGCTCCACAGCATTCCAGCTCACCTCTCCTCGCTATCTCCTTGGCTGTGGCCTTGCCAATGCCACTGTTTGCACCGGTGACCAGGAAGGATCTCCCAGCCACATCCACCTCCATATCAGCTGGATTGAAGTGCTTGGAAGCAGATTCATAGCCGCCCCTGAATAAAGCAAGACACACCCGTAAGAAACTAGAAGAGAGCCCTTCTGAAAAAAAAAAACATAGGGGAGAGCTGAAAAGCACTTTTCCCTCACAGCTCAGCTGAATGCCCTCCCTTGCCCTGTTACTCTCTGTACTGGTGGGACAGGCCGCAAACAGTGCCAGTGACACTGCAAACAGTGATGTACCACAGAATCATCAAGGTTGGAAAAGACCATTAAGATCATCAAGTCCAACCATCAACCCCAGCACCACCAACCCATGTCCTCAAGTTGCGTAGCCACATGATCTTTGAACACTTCCAGGGGCGGTGCCTCCAGCACTTCCCTGGACAGCCTGTGCCAGTGCTTTACAACCCCGTCCACGACAGCAGCTCCTTGTGGCGTTCGCCCGCCACAACCACCCAGCCCGGCCTTGCACAGCGGGGAAGGGGTCCGGCCCCAGCCCCAGGGCGGGGCGGGCCGTGCAGCTCTCACAGAGAGGGGCGGGAATCTGCTTGGCTTGGCGGGGTGGGGAGCGGTCGATTGAAAATACAAAATAAACTCGAGCTGGTTGAACTCCCGCGGGCAGGCAGGAACGGCCCGGCCCGGTCCGGGCGCTGCGCCAGCCCCACGCCGCGTTCCCCGCCCGCGGGGGCCGCCGCCCGTACCTCGTGTATTCCCGCAGCCCCTTCACGAACCACACGGTGTTGCGGTACCAGGACATGGCGCTGCTGCCTCCACCACAGCGGTGCCGGCCCCGCCCCTGCCCTTACATAAGGTCAGCCCTGCCCGCGTTAGGTAAGGGCCGAGGGGCGGCACCGCCCGGCCGTCCCCGCCGCCACGGACCGGCAGCACTGATGGAGGGTGCGAGGGCGGGCAACGAGTCTGTCAGTAGGGGGGAGCTGTGCCACGTTCCCCCTCAGCAGCAGTTTATGGGTTGTTTCTGCTTATCTTTTCTGGTTTTTCCTCTTCTTTAGCCATCAAGGACAGCCGCAGCGAGCCCCTGCCGCGCCGGAGATGGCTGTGCCTGGTGATGGTGGTGGCAGAGGAAGGATGGAGAGTTTCCCAGGGCACCTGGTCGGGCCAGATGCTGCTGCCAGCTAATCCGGGACTGCAAACGGGGTGTTGTGTTTTGGGAATGGGGACCAGAGTTCCAGGATCTATGCCTGCACCCTCTGCCCTGGAAAGCTGTCAAAGGGATGCTCTCACAGAAACATAACCATGTTGTGCTTCACCAAGGAGCGTTTTGCATAACAAATCCGTTAAATATCCAGCTCCTACTAATGGAGCAAAGTATACCAGTAAGGAAAGGGTACACGTATGGCTGTTGCAGTAGGGGAAGTGAAACTCAAAATGTGTTTTCAGTTCCTCTGGTATGTGCTTTGGAGCTGTGAAGCCCAAGAGAATCACTTGGAGTCGTACATCTGGACAGCCCATGTTAGCCATATGCAAATTGTCATTATAGGTATAATTATGCTTTTAAGTACATGAAAGGACTACGCACTTAGAAAGTTCAGTGTGCAAGTTAGATAAATTCATGTATTTTACGTGATATGGGGAGGTCATATGCAGAGAACCCTATCTAAGTTTTCAAGAGCTTAAGTTGCCTGGTTTCAATAGCAGAGATAGGGGAGAAATGGGAATATTCTTTTTTGATCCTGTATGATAGTCTGATACTTTTTTTTCTAAATCTCTTCGTGCTGGCAAAGGCCTCATACTAAAGTCTTCCACTTTCTCAGCACATTGTGTGAGTATTAGGCTCATACAAAAGACACTTCCCACTATCAAGTTACAGTTTTGAACTCGGTGAACTGCGCACTGTCTGCTTGTACTGTGTATTGTGTGTGAAGTAAGAGTTTTCAGAGGGCAAAGAGATACATTTTCACAGTGATGTTTTCTTCCATGCAGAGACCATCCAGCTACATGTTGTGCTTTTGCATGAAATCTAAAAATGCTTGTTCTTATTAAAACAGCTGAAAGACTCTATTAAAAAACCAATAGCCTGAGTCAGTTTTAACTGATCTTGTTCTTGGAAATGCCTGGGAGTTTGTGACTAAAGTATTCCTAAACAATTCATCCTGATTCTGTTGCTTGAAATGGAGACTTTGGGCGCAGAAAGGAACAGCTTGGCAGTAGTGTGAGTGGCAGAACGTTATTTCATATAGTGGAAATTGAGTGGCAGCCTAAACTATGGACATGTGCTGTGATGTCTGTGAGTATATGGAAATAGTTTTGTGATCATCACTGACAACATGCAATTGGCAACCAAAACTGTACAGGCTAAACAGCTATGATGATGTCTGATAATCACACTCGCTCTGAACACAGCAGATGTTAGGCTTGTGCAAGTCCTGCATGCAGGCTGAGGTAATGTCCCCCCTTCCTTCTTTCTGTCCCATGCCCAGGAAGCCCTTCAGCTTCTCCCTTTCCCTCGCAGCCCAGAGAAGTCTGCATGGTTACTTTCCTCAAACCCTGGCTCAGCAGGGGAAATCCAGAGAATTATGTGGGCATGCCTGCTGTTATGAATATCCGGGCAGAAAACTGCAGTGCTGCTCCACATTTTCATACTAGTTAGAGACTGTCTTACCTTGGGCTTCATAACCCTCTCTGCATCTCAGTGTGGTGTTAGGAGAATAATAATGTTCCACAGCTGCTTATGCCACAGAATTAGCTGCATTTTTTACAGGAAATATGGTTTCATTTTGAAAAACATTAGCAAAGCCCAAACAAAACAATGGAAGCTCCTGTGAATAAATGCAATAAACCAGGTTGTGTTTTATTCCCTTGTCATTTCTGTGGTTCTGTATTTATTTCTTAAGTACTGAGACTGTGGCTAGTACAAGCAGAATGGGATGATGACTTCGATGTGTTTTGTTTGTAGTCTCAGCCTATATTCTCATAAATTAAGGAGTGCATCCCTGCAGTCTGCTGATCTCTGAAAGTAAATGAAGTGTATGCAGATACAGCCAATTCCTTGCACGCTAAACCATTTGGACTGTGATCAGCAAGATGCTGGATGATGCAGCCCTGAGGTACTAACTAACGTGAGTATGCATGACAGAAGCTGTCCATGAGTCAAAAAATAGATTATGGCAGCCAGACAATGGGAGCAGCTCATAATATTTTGGGATTAAGTAGTAATGGGCAATTACAGCATATTTCTTGTATTAACATTAGAGAAGATGTTTTAATGTAGAGTTGAGTACCGGAGTCATCCTGGTACACACAGAATTTTCTCAGAGGATATTCTATAAATACTGTAATGCTACCCATACCCTTCTAACAAATGCCATTTTAAGGAGATTTTGTAAATGCTCAGAAACTATGCCCTTGCCAGCATGCAACAATTCCTGAGCACATTCAACTTAGAGATTTCTACTTAGAAACACTTGCTTTTTCTTTACTGAGGGCCTAAGCTTGCACCCAGAAAGGAACTGTCACAACACTCTATCTGAACAGCTTCATAGAATCCATCATTAAGGTTGGAAAAGACCTCCAAGATTTTCCAGTTTTCACATCAGAAGGGACCTGTTGCACGCTGTCCTAATACCTAGATGTGTCTGCTACCTCACTTCACCCCCTGTGGTGTTGTGCTTTTGTATTGTTGTTCCAGAGGCAGGAGACTGTACAGATTGTGTTAGTGCTCTCTCCTAACCCAGCTATCATGGTGATGAGGCAATATGGGGTCATGTGCAGGAGAAAGGCAAGATGTACCTTTGCCAAGAGTTGGGTGGTGCTAATGAAGGGCCTGCATCACAGTATTCTCACAAGGAAATTTCTGCCCACATCAGAAGTTTGGCTGCATATGTTGCTTTTGGCACTTAATTCTAGGTTGATGCATCTAGTTAGCTGAATTAGAATACATCTTGGAGCTTTGAAAAGTGAGGAAGTTACATCTTCTGGTTTCTTGAGTGCTACTAGCTTAGCAATAACTTCTGATAGGACGCTGCTCTGAACATGAAGGATTTTTTTAAACAAAGAATTTTTCTCATGGATTGGCAGACAACATCTCAGATAGCTGTCACAGCCAGCTACTGATATATATGTGTAATCTGGCTCTCCCACTAGAAGTGGGGGGATCAAGAGAGCCATGAGTCTCTGGAGCTCCTGACATTTCCCTCATTTGAGCAAAGAACAAAACGGCTTCACCCTGGATAATAAACACAATGCAGTGCTTAGCCTTGATAAAACATACTAAGTTAACTCCTTCCCTTAAGGACTGCAACACTTCAGGTATATCTGCACTATCAAATACTCCCCAGGTCCTGATCCTCTTATTGCCCATACTAGGCAAATTATTGTTGATGCCGAGGCTCCCAATAGCTATTAAATACTTCTGTCTAAAACAAGCTCAAATATCATCAGGATAATAGTTTGCTCAAGGGATAATTTGTTCTCAAGATCTGTGGATGAGGCTGCACCAGGATTCACACTGCACAGCTTGGCACTGGTGATCCTGCATTCTGTTAGATGCATTTGAAACAGTATGGCCAGTCTTCGCAAGCGAAGATTTGGGAAAGGTCATTAACCCTTCGAGCCTGCGCAGTGGATTTTTTAGGTGAGACACAGCGTGCGCTGAACTGAGCCCACCCTTTAATCCTGAGGTTCATCTGCCGGGGCCGAGCAAGCTTGGACAGTGGCAGTGAGGTCCCCAGGACGTAGGTTTGTTTAGAGTGACCTTCTCTTAGATGGATTGCCTTACAGGGCTGATGAGCTCCATCTGCCCGGGGGCTGGGAATCGAACCCGGGTCGCAGAGGTGAAAGTGCTGCACCCTAACCACTAGACATTTACCAGTGCAGAAACAGCCCCCAAGCCTGTTAGGCAGGCCCTGCATGAATTCAGGTAATCCTCAAAGCAAAAATTCTGGAGTATTGTGGCTGTGAGCTTCCAGATGTGAGGACTTTCCATGCAGTAATGAATTGAGAATCTCAGTATTTTCTTAAAACAAGAGCTGGTGAAAAATAGCTCTCTGGCATTCAGCTGGACTAATATGAAGAATACACTTTGGACTTGATTCATCTTTGTACCTGTCAAAGAGCAAGGAGTTTTAAGCAAAGTGTTAATTATCTCCAACACAAAAGAAAAGTTGAAAATGCCGATTGCTTTCAAGGGCTGTGTGTTTCAGAATGTTTCATATTTTCTTCCCAGGGGACAGATCTAAAAGGTAGACAGAGTACTCGAGAGCTGAAAAACAATTATATATTATACAAGATGTTTAAAGCAGCTTCAAGGCCATTTAGCCAATCTCTTTTGTTATCCTCCCTTTTTTTTTTTTTGAGGATTTTTGTTGAGAGGCTAAAATCTCAGTCTGAGAACAACTGGCTCCTTTGCTTGCTTCATGCCAGAGATCTGGCAGGCTGTTGTGCATTCTCTCCTTTCCTTGCAGCTACTAATTTTCTAATTAAGTCTCTGTGCCTGCCCCCATTAAATCAATCAGAACTGATTCGGTCGCCACTGACTGCAGTGGGAACAGGCACAGGATTTAAGGCCCAGATTTGCAGAAAAGTTCAGCATCTAGAATTGGGGCCAGGCTTCCAAAGAAGTGGCAACTGTGTGCAAGCCACTGTTGCTGTGGGAGCCACTGCCAACCGTGCTTTTGCCATGCTGGCCTCAGCTCTGGAGGCAAAACACTTGAGAACTCCTGCTTTAGAAACTAGCACTGCCCCAGTCAGTGTACCAGCAATTAAGAGCAGTTGGCAATTTGTGGAGAGGCAGTCGACACTTATCCCATTACTTGGATGAAGCAGAGTTTGGTGAGTGCTTGAAGAGGAACATTCATGCCCTGAGGTCTCAGGGGCATGTCTGACGTGCTTATGGTAGTAGCAGGGTGAGAGAAGCAAAAGCTGCTCGTCC